TGAACTTTGAAATGACAAATGACTAGTCATTTGTCATTTGGGTCATTTGGGTCATTTCAGGTCATTTACCATCCCTGCTCGTACGTACGTACCAGACCATGCCAAAATCTGTGTCAATTGAACTAGTAAAATGTCACAAAACCCGAGTAATTAACGGTCCAATTGACACGGGCATACGGTTCAACACAAGGCATACATATGTGCCATCTTGCGTACAAATCCGGTTTTTATCCGTGCCATTACGACCCAACCCGTGGCATTGCAGTACAGTCTTTTTATAGGCTGAATTTGTGGCACAGTTTAATTATATTTGTCCACTCCACTCAGTACTCTGTTACAAATATTAATTTTGATTACGGTGCGTTTACGAAATTTGTGCATTAGCTCAACATATAAAGTGCGTCATTCATTATTGTTTTTTTGCTATTGGTTATTGTAAATCACATGCTAAACATCTTAACTATTTTCAAGTTGGAAAATGGGTTGGACGTTTATTATGTGATTTACAATAACCAATAGTCAAAAAACCATAATGAATGACGCACTTTATATGTTTGGCTAATGCCCAAGTTTCGTAAACGCGCCGTAATGTAATACATTATATATAAGTACATTATTATATTCATTTGCATTTGTTAAATTTAATAGTTTGGTTTGTTATGGGATTATCTTAGGAATGTTATGGTTTGCAAATTTCGTAAATCGAAATCGCGGCCAACATGAAAAATTACCTAATTATTAGCTTATTGCGCAATCAAAAGTATATTTCTTAACCAAAATTTCAATACAAATATAATTTTTACTTGCCAACTAAATTAATTACTCGTTTCTCTATTATAGATTTTCAATAAAAAGTTACACATCGTGGCGAATTGATGGAATTTGACCTTTATCTAAATACCCTAAATATAAAATAGGCTATTTCAAAAATATAAAAATTTTTAAAAAATAGCTTTATATAATAAATTGGGTGACTTAAATAAAGGTCTGATTCCGTAAATCTGCTGTGGTGGATAAATATTGTAATAAATTTAAAAAAAAGATTCCTCATGAGTACCATGATTATTCATGATATTATAAAATTAAGGCATTTTACTTGATAAATAAGTTTGCGTAAAAATGATATAGATAATCAATTTTATTATAATTATAAAATCATGATTACGTCTCCTAAAAAAGTTCAATACATAAAAAACTTTATCTCTCTCAATAATAGATCGACCATCCTTCTGATGTAACCAGCAGAATATTTAGGAGGTCATACCATCAACAACATAATCTAATTCAAATAACAATGTTAAAAATGTATAGTTAAAAAATGATTGATAAATACGGTATCAATAAATAATGAAAGTATAATATCTTAACATTGAATAATGGATTATGGAAATAAATTATGTTGCAAGTGATTTATAGAATACTTCAGAAATCTCTTTCTTTAATAATCCACCAGAATAACAAGTAGCAACATAGTCGCTCCAATTAGAAGTGTCCTGTTTTTTATCTTTAGACCTTGCAATCTTAACCATCTCTGTATGCCATGACCAAGTATTGGAAAACTTCCAGCAATACATAACTTCCAGAAGTTCATCCATCTTTTCACGAAATTCGGAATAACCTTTCAAAGGAAATCCCCATTGAATCACACCATATTCATTCATCAGATTGAAATCTTCCTCACACGTACACATGCTCATATAAAAATATAAAGCACTGTGAATATAAGCAGCTTTTCCGGAAATAATTTCATAGATTAAAAGGTTTTTTAATATTTTAAATCGAAATTCGTCAAGAATGAGGGTGGTGTAATAATAAGTCTTGTTCAAAGGGTCAACGTAGCAGATGTAAGCTCCATTGACAACACGTTTCATTGGAATTCTATGACGTACATATTCCTTGAATCCAAATGGAGTTATAGTTCCGGCTATATGGGTAGCTTTATCAAAAGATTTATGTTGACCAGCTGTTTGACGGTAAAGGTTTTCCATAAACGTTGCTTCACTGTCGTAAGGTTGTATGGTGCCACCAGTGATTTGGAATGGTGCGACACCATTGATAGCACTATAACAGAAAAAGATGTAAGTCATATATAAAATTAAACTAATAATAACCGAGATTCTGATTCCTGAGTAGAGATGGGCAAATCATAAAATTTTGAATTTCATGTAAACCATGTACAGAATGCGCAACCTGCGTGGAACCTGTTATTACTAAACTACTGTACACTAATCAGCCAGAATTATAAGATCATGAGCAGGTCCTCAATTTAAGTTATTGCGCAGAATGTACATGTGCTCATCCCTCTTATTGAGGACAAAAGAAGATATCTTACGCATTTATGTCTCCGGTGGGATCATTATATCTATTAAGCAAGTATTATATTAGTAATAAACAATTCAGCGATAATGATAACGGTAATGGTAAACTGAGGATACATACGGATTAAAAGGTAATTTTAGAAAATATTGAGCTTTTTCCAAGAAATCCGAAACAAGGTCTTTACAAGAGATGGTTGTGAAAGGATTTGAAAGATCTATCAAAGCACTCCTATAATCAGAAACGGCAGAAACAGCTGAAGAAAGACGCTCTGTAGGTACACATGAAATAGATCTACGAAATTGTAGCGAATATGCTAAAAATCTCGTTACAATTTGGATCACTATTCCCGCAGAATAATCATCTTGTTCATCAGAAATTTTAATATCATTCAATCTCTTTATAAGGTCGTCAACGTCTTCAACATTTGTCAAAGAAGGTAATAATACTTTTTCTTCTTCCAAACGTAGCATTTGTTGAGTCTCTTTATTGTATGGCAATATATTGCCTTTGTAGGACATATCAATATAATCATGAAGTTTTATGCTCTCGCCAATGCGAACTTCAGGACATTTTGGCTCGTCAACTACTCTGAAAAGAGACGCAAGACCAGCTAAACTGCTGACATCAATGTCAGATAAGTTTAGGTCATATAACAAATTATTCTGAGACATGCTGTTGTTATATTCTGTATGAATTAGTATATATTATTGAAATGAGAGTAAAGGAGATGTTGAATTGATGGATAAGAGGATTAAAGATAGCGGTCTTTATATATATATGTTTATTTACATTTTTTCTTAGCCAAATGCGCAATAATAATAATGCGTAGTAAACTTCAATGCTATTCCACAAAAGTAAATCATGATTCATGTGGTTGCACAATTTAAGTTTCACCAAGTTTCTCAACTATACACAAATAATCATAAGATAAATGTTACGGACTTTTTTCCAATATCTCCGATAAATGGTAATTAATGGAATGTTCTTGAACTTACTTTAAGTTCGAAAATGTTCGATAATATTAAACCTCGAATCTTATATCCGGAATTTGACCTCCGAAATGTGAATTTATTTGTTATATACGTATAATTTTCAGTACATGCATATATCAAAGTTTCCTATTTTAGTCGGTTATAAATATTGAACAAATAATATTTAGAAAATGACTTCTGTCATAACAAAGAATTTCTTACTTTCCATAATACAAATAAAGTATTTCATTTTTCCTTGTTAAACAAATATTTGATATATTTATATTGTATGACTAACGCTAAATAAAATTTAATAATATGACCGTTACACAAGTCACGTTCTTTAAATCGCTAGATGAAATTTTCAGGGTCATAATAAGCAACATGAAGCAGAAACCTCGTTATAATAATGCATCATGCATTATAAATATTTGAAATATTTTTAGTTTTATAATGATGAAATCTATGCAGCATATTTTTTGTGAAAGAGAAATTTATTATGTATTTTAAATTGTTATCTTTATTCAGTAATTCTTTATTTTATATTGTCATGTCACAAATTTACGACAATTAAAACAAAGTGTTACATTAAATTAGTATTACAACTCATTAAGTAGTATGTGGTTTCAATTTATTATTGCTGCAAATTATAATTAGCAATTTTTTTTGTAGCAATTTTTCAATAAGCTATATCTAGTAGCAATTAATGTTTCGAGTTGTTCAAATTTTTCAAAATTGATTTGTAATTTTGCGACGATTGATTGAATTAATCACATGTTTTCATCAAATTTGATTGGGCTAACAAATTATCACATGGCATTGTACGGGTTAAATATAAATTCAATAATAAATTAAGGAAATTGATATTTCCACACCCTTTTTTGATATTGCCACACCCCTGTTAATAAAAATCAATATAAATTATTAGGGTTCGGTTAGGGTTTAGAGTTAGCAGGGGTGTGGCAATATCAAAAAAGGGTGTGGAAATATCAATTCCCTAAATTAACGATTAACGGTCAAAATGTTTCAGTCGATTAGTTAACTAATTGTCAACTCCCTTCTTTTTCACTCTGCTAACCTAATGAAATTCAAACATAAAAGGTATTCAGTTTTATTCATTAAACTCGGCATAAAATTTAACTTCCAAAGTTAAACATCTCGGACATCATGTATTTTTACGATTTAGATACATAGTTTATCAATGTTGATAATAATAATAATCCATTAAACCTTCTGTAAGTACATATTATAGGGATCACAAATGTATATGCACTTATAGAAAATTGTGTATTTAAAAAATGGCCAATAAAAACGGGTATTATTGTATGATTTTTAAACTTAAAAAATGAATTGCATAAGTTGATATAGCATAGAATTTGTCACCGAAACCTTTTTCGTCAGATCCAAAAGTTTCGAGTTTCGTATTATAGTTTCTGAAACCTCATCCAAAACTCGAAACCTCATCAGAAACCCGAAGCTTCTTATAAACTCGAACCTCCAAAACTTAATGATCGAAAAAATTTTAAAATATTTATCAATTCAAAAAAATTGTCAAACATTTAGGTGTTAGAAAATCTATAAATCGGGTTTTCAAAGATATGGATGTATTGAAAAGCTTTCATAAAACTTTTTTGACAAATATTGAAATCGATTTTTTGGAATTTCGAGTCACATTTAAACCAATTGACAACTTTTTTTTAATATTAGCACCTATAGTTTATTATAAAAATTTATTTTATATCCGAAACCTTTTTGTATTTCTTGTCAAGATTTATTTGTTGACAAGAATTATCAGCCTCTCCCACAAACCTTTGCACAAACTAAAAATACTTCAATTAAGAATAAAATGGAATTATTATAGCCAATAAAATCTCAAAATATTTCAAAATTGGTCATGACGGGATTTTATTTTGAATGTATTCTGTGCCACCGAAAACATGTACGTATGGTATGTAATATAAAAATATTTATCTTTTATATATCATTCATGCCCAAAATAAATAACTTAAACTAGATCTGCCGAAAAATCATTCGGCCAATTTTTTATCCGGTGTCCCAGAATTTATGAAACAGATGTAATATGTATATAATATAATATATGCATTAGGGAA